ATTCTACCCACCATCTGCTTTAAAGGGATTTCCAAAACTATTTGAGTATTTTTAGTCTGTTTATGCAGATTTAATTCGTTTGTGGTTTTACTGTGAATAGGTTTCTGCATCAGTGATGAAATAAGCCTACTCATGGTAGCCCAGCATGGTGCAGTGGTTTGAACATTGGACTATGACTCTGGAAATAAGGGTTTGATTCCCTGTTTGGAAATGGGAACCCACTGGGTTATCTTGGGCAAATCACACTTTCTCAGACCCAGAAAATGCCTGAGGGTCACCATCAGTAGAAATGACTTGAAGGCATACAACAATGGTACTCCAAACAAAAGACAGTGGCTACTCATTTGCCTATCAAGTTTAAATATAGTATATATGATGATACTGTTGCTGCTGTTGTTGTGTGCCTTCAAGTCGTTTCCAACTTATGGTGTCCCTGAGGCAGGCCTATCATGGGGTTTTCTTGGCAAGATTTCTTCAGAGGTTTGGCATTGCTTTCCCCTGAGGCTTTCCCAAGGTCACCCAATGGCTTTTCATGGCTGAGCTAGGAATTGAACCCTGGTCCCCAGAGTCCTAGTCCTATGCTCAAACCACTACACCACACTGGCTCTTATGCACAGTATTAATATAATTAATCATATTAATTATAATAATTCTTATTCTTAGGTCAGAATGTAGGCAGGTGGAAGCCTCACTCAAAGTTACAAGAAACCAACAGATGGAGTCCATGACCAGAATGTCCCATTCCTGCTGTCCTTTCAAAGGCAGGTTAAAACATTTTTGTGCCATCAGGCTTTTTAAACTAACAAGGTTTGGAGTTTCAAATGTTGTGCAAGGTTTCTATATTATATACAAGGTTTGTATATAGTTTAATACATTTTAATATTTTGAATGTATAATTGTTTTAACTTTTTTAATTGTTTAATTTTTTTAAAAAAATGTATTTATACCTTTATTAACACTTTTGTATTGTTTTTAAATTGTATTTTTTTAAAATTTGTTGTTAGCTGCCTTGAGCCCTTATATTGGGAGAAAGGTAGGATATAAGTAAGGAAAAAAGAAAAAAGGAAGAACCAAACCCCCATGGTAGATTCACTTTTGGGTTGCCATAAATCAGAAATGACATGAAAGGAAACATCAGCAACAACAACATACCTGCACCAGACTTCAAATTGAATTCCTCCTCCTCCTCCTCCTGCTAGCAAGCCCCGTGCAGAGAAAGCATCGAGCAGCAGCCGCTGGACAGGGATGTCAGCAGGGACCAATAATGAGTGATGACGTTCATCACTGAAGCTGGGGTCAGGCATGCACAAGGTAGTGGATGAACGGAAAGCTTTTAAGGCAAGGCCTATGAAAGAAAAATAATTAAAAATTCAAAAGGCAAGTGATAAAGTGCTCACATCACATGTAACAGTAATCAAACACTGGTATATCAATGAGCTTGGAAGAATTCTCCAAGAATCCATTTCTCTGTAAAAGGCTTAAAGAAAATTTGATGAGTTTTGTCAGCACACACAACATGGGCCATCAGATTCCATAATCACATTATTCTGATGTTGGTCATTCATATTAGTCCCTATGCACACAGCTTGACATGCCTGTTAAGGAAATATTTCTAGTAGCCATCAAGACCACTGATTTTGGTATCCTTCAGCAAAAAAACTAAAATTCTGATTATCAAAGGGCAAATGGAAGTGAAATGAAATGTAACCAGTGTGGGAGCAGTTATTGTTGGTGAGAAGGTGACTTTAATAAGCCACAGTTGTTGCTATTCTTGATTAATGTGTTACTTTAATTTTATTTCTGAAGTTCAGTGACACATTTGCCCATCATCAAAGCACTTAGGTTCAGTGAAGAAGCTGCAAAGAGCATTCAGGAATGAATGGATGGCAAACAGTATTTTCATAAACTAAGCCTACCGCATTCACAGAATTCTGTCCCACGTAGTATGTCAGATTCTGATTCCTGAACTGGAAAGTGGTACTGCACATAACAGTCGGCCTCTCCCCAGACTGTGGACTGGAGGGGAGTGAGCCCTTTAATGCACTCAATGTGGATCTCAAAGACATGCTCCATCAAACCTTCCTTTTCCTGGTCTGACCACTAAATAAGACAAAATGGAATCCCTGTGAAAAAGGACAACTGCCTAGAGAGGAAAGTCATCAAAAGTAATTTTATACTGTTGTTTGCCTTTAGGTCAATTCCAACTTCTGGTTTTTCTATTTTAGGGCTTTCTTGGCAAGAGTGAATTAGAGGCAGTTTGCCACTCCCTTCATCTGAGGCTGAAAGAGGGTGACTTGCACACAGTCACCAACTGGGTTTCCATGGTTTATGGTAGGGATTCAAACCCTAGTCTCCCAGACTCCAGGTCCAACAATCAAAAATACTATATCATATTGGCTTTCCCCAAGAGCAGTCAGACTGTCCAATTTCAGAGGTTCTGGATAATTACCTGTAAAACATTATGTCAAACATCAACCAATCTAATTAACAGAAATATTATATATACACAGCAACAATCCTAAATGCTTCACTTTCCTCCCATCAGATTTATCCCAAATGCTAAGTCCTCTGACACCAGAGAAAAGCTCTGCTAGGGGAAGAGAATTCTAGAATTTGGAGGGTAGTCACACCAAACACTTCTCTCCAGTCTAGAAATGGAAAGAATACTTGAAAATACAGTACTTGCAAAATGGTTGACAAACATGTTTCCCTGGTGTCCAGAAGCCTTAATGAGACGAATGTGAATGAACTGATGAGAATCTCTGCAGTTGACACAAAATTCACACACAGTTATTTTGCACAGAAAACAACACTGCCCATGAAGAAATATTATTTCCTGCACAGAAAATGCTGTAGTTTGAAATCTATTCTGTACAAAATCCACATATAGTTGTCTTGTGCAGAATTTGTCCAAGATTGTGAAGAGTCTTCAAAAAATGCAGTTTTCTTATCGTGGAAAACTGCTGTAATTACTCATTGCTTCCTTTGAGAAGAAAATCCGTGAAGAATTACAAACATAATACAGTTGCAAAGTAATTTATCTGGAAATACCTTTGGAAGAGGTGCAGCAAGAGGATCCAGGGAATGCGGTGGTCGTAGCACAACAGGAGGCTCTATTCCTTCTTCATTCTTGAGCCTCTGCAATGCTGCAATCTGGTCAGCAGAACCCATTGCAAGGATCACCTTCAGGCTCCCATTTTTCTTGCCAGAAAACACATCAACCAAAGGCATCGGGCCATCCACAGCCAGGACTGGATACTGAGCCTGAAGCAGAAGGCTGGAAATTTTGGGATCTCTGGAGAAGGAAGGGAGAGAGACAGGATGACACTGGCATTTTAATATATACTAAATTCACAACGTCAAGAACCATGCACCCTGTTTTGAAGAAAAGGAAAATCCCATGCACATGGAACTGAAGAGAAGGAGAAAAATTCAATGAGAGTGGTTGTTGAGACACTGGGGATAAGCCTTACTATTAAAAAAAATCATTTTCTATTACAAAATTATTACACAATTGACAAAATAGATAAATATGGGAGTTTAACCAGAAAATATTGTCTTAACATTAACAGTGAACATGGATATCAAAACCTCACAGGTCTAACTCTTAATCCATTTTACATATTACATTTCCTCACTTCCTTCAAATAATACAGGCATTCATTTATTTTCATAAAGAGGTCTGATTGCAGTATTAATCCTACCCTGAGCAGACCCACTGAAATTAATGAGACATAATGTTAGTTTGGACTAAGGAGTCCTGTCCAACATAGGGGGTCTACACTTGACTGACTACCATTAGAATTAGCCCAGTGTAATATGTACTATTCAATACTGAGATAAATACTCTACTTCTTGTATCTTATAAGCATATCCTATATCTATTTATCTAATAAGCACAGTTCGATGTGATAATCAGACATAATCAGCCATCTGTGATTGGTTCTGTCTTTATCAAACTCTTTAAAAAATAACTCTGCTTTACAAATTTTATTTAATAATTTGTCCAATCAAGCATATTTTGGAAATATAAAACTCGGTGCAAATCGATTTGATTCTAAACTTTTATTAAACTTTATTGTTGGAATTACCATAGGAATCTCATCTATAAGAACTAAT